ATTTTATTTATTTATCTGAGAGAGAGAATGGGGGAGAGAGAGAGAGCATGAGAGGGGGGGAGGGTCAGAGGGAGAAGCAGACTCCCTGCTTAGTGGGGAGCCCTATGTGGGACTCGATCCCGGGACTCCAGAATCATGACCTGAGCCGAAGGCAGTTGCTTAACCAACTGAGCCACCAAGGCGCCCTTGAATGTTTTCATCACAGAGATTAAAAGCTTAAGTTAGAATCCCCAACTTTTATTTCCTAACAGTGACCCGAGACAAGTTAACTCACTTCAAGTTCCACATGTAAAGATGGAGATAATAAATATGATTATCTCCTAGGGCTGTTGGAGATTTTCCATGGGCAAGTGCAAATGAAGTGCTTGGCCTAATATTGGGTGTTACATAAGTGGCTAATAAATGTTTCTTGTGACTTGTCTCCTTGAGGAAGGGCCGAATCTTATTTTCTCCACTATTGCTAGTATAATGCCGAGCTCATATTGGAAGCAAAATGAGGTATTTTCTGAATCGAAAGTAAGACAATGAAAGTAAACGAGAGGTTATGGTTCATTTGCGCCCATATCTTTAAATACCATCTTCTGACTTTTGGTCAAATTCGTGTGTATAGAACCTTCCTTAGCAGCAGCTCTGTCTTATTGGCACTTTAATAGCATTCCTGAAGCACTTCTATGTACCAGGCAGCTGGTACCATCTTGTGATGTCACTAACTATCCATCCACACTTAACAGCTTCCCACTGACTGATGAGCTGAGTAGGAATCCTGGGCTTTTTTTCTTTCTATGTTAATTGTAGAATATCCGTATGTTAACTATTTGAGCATCATTGATTCACCTACCTTTGCCCCAGTCCTTTCTTGTAGAGCTGGATTAGGTTACATCTCTCATCTTGTCATTGATTTTGTAGCATTTTGTAGCTGATGCGTCCCTCTTAGACTGCCATTTTTGCTCAGCTCACCAGTGATGTGGCCTTCAGGAAGCCTAGCGGTAAATCTGAAGATACAGTTCATGAAATCAAATGTCTTGTTTCACCAGTGTGTACCTCTTAGTTGTATTTTAAAGCTCATTCATGCCATAATTATATCGACCTGTAGAACATATTAACTTTTAATTTAATTTTGTTCAGATAGCAACATTTATTATCGATTTCTCTGCTGTGAGTTAGGACATCATTTTAGTAATGACATAGGCTTTTGCTCCTGTGCTGACTTTTCTAAAGATCCTTACATTTTACTGCTTCTGTTTTTGTCATAGGTGTTCATCAGTTTCTTGCGGTTTGCCTCAAAGATTTTTAAGGCTACTCACAGTGTGTTTTGTTTTAGGATATTCCTGGGGAAATAAAAGTGGAATTGAAGGTTAAGGCTCCATGCTCCATTTCATTTTTGTGCAGAGCTGTATTTAAATAAAAAAAAGAGAGAGAAAGAAAAATCTGGGCTAATAATCCTGCAGTTGTACTTTAATTTAATAAGCATTTACTGAAACAAGTTGTATAATAAACTCAGATCTTAATACTTATTTTGATCACTGTATCAGTGTATAAATCAAACATTCTTTGGATTTTCAGAACAGTGTTTGACTTTCAGTGCATATATAGAGAAAGGAAGAATAGACAGAGCTGAACCCGGTTCAGATTACTTTCAAGGTATACTGGACATGACAAAATCTCCTCCTGAGATCATTAACAGCAGTCTGCTTTCGTATTACACTTTGTAGTTTGTAAAGCACTTTCACCTGGAGTTTTTTACTGGTTCTGACAACAACTCTGTGTCCCGGTTGTTATTGCTACCTTCAGTTTATAGATGAAAAAATTGAGGGCAGGCAGGTTAAAAGACTCACTGAAAGTACTTAATTAACCAGCCATGGAAGACCTGGGTCTCAAACCTATGTGCATGACCACAAATTCTTCCCTCATTCTACTATATTTCATTTCCATCTTAACTAAAAAAATTTCCATACACTTTTGTTCCAAATGCAAAAGAAATGAATTAACTTCCATTTATGGGTTAAAAAATATTAGAAATCAAGACCTTACCGATATTTCTCATGATTTTATGAGAATATTTATAGTTTGCTTGGGTAAGTTACTGCATTTTCTTTTGTGCAGAGATTTATGTTTACAGAAAGCATAAAAGGGAAAAAAAAGTACCACTGTGTATTACATTATAGGATCATCTGTTCCTTGTTTTCTTTATTGGCTATAAATAACAAATCTGTTGAAAACTTTATAATCGCATATAGAATCTAGTTTCTAATTGAATATAAACTATGTGGTTTTGCTTGTGTCTACATAAAAATAAAAATGTTTTCCTCTCTGCTTTAACAATATTGTGAAATACATTTTACATTTTCTAGAAGCTTTATAAATGGGATTTTGAAGCTATCATTTTTTAGTTCAATTTTTCCATTGAGTTCAGAATCTGCTTAGAGTAACCCCCTCCCCTCTCTGGCCATAGTTATCAATAGTTATAAGAGTTGGGAAAACTTAAATCATAGCTATCAGATGTGAGGCCTGGAAAAATCAAACATTTCTGAGAACATGAAATTGCCTCTCATTTATTTAAAGATGTAATGGTTTTAAAGCAGAACATTTTGAACATACAAAGATTAACCATTAACCCACTTACTTGTTTTTTTCCATGGGACTTTTCCAGGGCTAAGTCTCTAAAATGAAACCTGGGACTCCTTTCATGTGCTGGGTACCGTCATAGATGCTGAATATAGTCTGGTAGATGAATGAGATGAGTCCCTGTCAAAGGGAATTCATAATCTAGATCGCCATTGAGTAAATGGGCAGGTAATGTAAACTGACATAACAACCGAAATAAACAGGGTACAATGGGAGAGAATAAAAGAGAAGACCTAATGTAGATTGGTGAGACTTGGCAGGTTTCATAGAGGAAGTAGCTTTAAAACAGAAGGAGTGGGAGTTTAGAGTAAAGACTTTCAAGACAGTGGTCATTCCGTATTGCTGAAACAGGATATATCTGAGTAATTTTTTGAAGGGAGGCAGTATGCTCAGGTTGTGAGCGTGAAGGACAGAGAGCTGCATAATGCATAGAAAAATACAGACTGCAGTGGATCTGTGGTTTGCCCGCTGTATTAATTTCTTAGGGCTGCTGACACAGAGTACCACAAACTTGATTACTTTTAAAACAACAGAAATTTATGCCTTCACAGTTCTGGTGGCCACCTCTGAAGGAAATGTGTTGACTTGGCCCCACTCCTCCAGAGATGCTAGGGGAGAAGGGGTTCCCTGCCTCTTAGAGCTTTGGGTGGCTACTGGCATTTCTTGGCATCTTGGCTTGTGGCTGTGGCTGTTCCTCACACTCCCTTTCCCACTGTGTGTCTAATCTCCCTCTGCCTCTGTCTTCTAAAGATTTATATGAGGGCATGTAGGGACTACGTAAACAACCCAGCATCATGTATTCATTTCAAGATCGTTATCTTAATGGCCTCAGCAGAGACCCTTTTTCTAAGTAAGATGGTGACATTCAGAGATTCCCCAGGACTTGATGTGGATATCTTTTGGGGACTGTTTTCTAGCCTACCACACCTACACAGCATTCATTTTCACTCTTACCCTTTGATTTTATTAAAATATCTATCCCTTTCAGAAAACAATAAAATAAAATACCTATCCCTTTCTCCACACAGGTCATGCATCTACACTTCTAACCCCTGGGCCTAAGGATAATTCTAATCTCCTCTCCCATGCCAGGAGTAGGCTCCTAGGCATGTCAGATCAATGTAGCACCAGGAGAGGACTCCTCTGGGCTTCTGGAAAAGTTTCTCCTCATTCTCTGGGAGATTCCCAAAGGCAGTTCTCTGTCTTTTCTTCTGGCTACGGTCTTGTGAAGGCGTAAAGCTAGAACTCTTACAGTCATCTTGCTGCCATCTGAAGGGCAAATATAAAGGAGAATAAAGCCTAGAGAATCACAATAAATCCGAGCCAGAGCCAGATTAAGGCAACCCTGCAGCCCACTCAATCTCTGCATTTTCAATCAGAGGAGTCAGTGCATTTTGTTAGCACTTAAGGTGGTTTGAGTTGGGGTTTCTGCAACTTGTAGCTCAAAACATCTTTTGGATAGGCCATGGTAAGGAGCGTGGATTTTATTTGATATATAGTGGGGAGTCATTGATTTAGGTTTCAGAACCTCACTTTGGATGCCACTGGGATAATTGATTAGAGAGACAAGAGGTGGAATTAGAGAAGTCATTGAAGCCATGTAGTAGTTCAGTGAGTGTGGACCGTGGTTTAAACTAGGGTGGTAGAAGTAGAAATGAAATGGATATACAGATTTGAAATATATACTGGAGAAAAAATATAAATATATACTGGAAGATTTCTCATTAAAGTTGATAGATTGAGACAGACATCTGATTTGGCTTCCACCATCATTAAAATAATAGTAAAGGACTTGTTTTTAAAAGGCATAGACATGTGGGGAAAACTGAGAGACCAAACAACAGCGACAAAATACTACAAACTAGAAAGGGCTGGGACAATTGGTAAATGCCTTATCAGATCCAAGAAAACAGAATCATAAAGGAACAGTTAAGAAAGCTATTAACCAACCCAATTTACACAGTAGAATTATCAAAAACTCAGAAATTAGGTCTACTTGTTACTTCCAGAAGAGGGAAAGAAGGCCAGGTACTGGAGGATAAGGAGGATTGGTCAGAAGTACTTAGAACCCTGGATCCCCTCTCCTACCTCGAATAGCAAGGCCACAACTGGAAAAAGACTGGGTATTTATTTTTTGGAAATATTTTTTAAAAAGGTATTTAATTGGAGAAATTACACAGAGTTGAGGGTAAAGGTACTATATTTTTTAAAAGTGGGGACTAAGTGAACATATGTGTACAGTTGTTGATACTTTCCCAACTTTCTCCCTCTAACTGGCTGCAGACACTGGAAGCAAAACCTTTAACTCTCAGCAGACAGGAAGTCTTTTCTGGGAAAATTGAATTTCCCAAGAGGAAAAACATGAACATACTGATATCAAAGGTTCTCTAAAGGAAACAAAGCATCCAGATCACCCTACACTGCAGCTTAACACTCACTAAGTCCTACCAACAAACCAACAACTTTCACATAGCTTTCAGTCCTTGGTTTTACAGTGCAGGATTAGTTGATTTCTGAGGAAAGCATCTAATATGAGGGTTAGATCTTGGAAACAATTTGGTGGAACCAGAGAGCAAGCAGAGATGCAAGACTTAAATATATATATTTAATTTATATATTTATATGTATTTATGTATTTATATATAAAATATATTTATTATATATTATATATATTTATATATTATAAATTTATATATTTAAATATATGAGTACATATTCTATATGTATGTGTATATATATGAATATTTACACAGATGTAAATATTCTCAGGAAGATAAGAGCATGTTTTGCAACCATGACAAAAGAAAATGGCGCTTTAAAATCAAATTTTCAGAGAATAAAAAATACTGTTTTGAAATTTAGAATATGATAGTGAAAACATAAATGAAGGTTTGGAAGCTCAGGTAGGAAAATCTTCCAGTAAGTAGAGAAAACAGAAAATATGAGAGCAAAGAAAGAAAACTAGATGGCCAATTTGGGAAACCTAACATATTGAATAATATACGAGTTACCAAAAGAGAGAACCAGAGAAAATAAGAGGAAATCATTGAAGATACAATTTAAGGAATTTCCTAAAAGTGTCTTTAGATTGAAAGCCTACCAAGTGCCCTGTACTTAGATGAAAATAGACTTATATTAAGGCTATGACTGAAATTTCAGAATACTGGGATAAAGAAAAGATCTTATATGTTTCCAGAGAGAAGAGGAAAAAAATATAGTTCACAAGCAAAATATCAGGAATACAAATATTTCAGATTTTTTAAAAGCAAAACAGTGGAAGAATTGAAGACAATGGAACCTTCCCAAATACTTTTCAGGATATTTATTTCCAACTCAGAATTTGGTACCTAATTAAACTATGAATCAAGTGTAAAGGTAAGTGAAGATACTTTTAGGCATATTAAGTCTCAAAATGCACCACCCCTGTACCCTCTCTCGGGACACTACTAGATGATATTCTCCAACCAAAGGAGCTAGCAAACCAAGAAAGAAGACCTGAGATCCCGGGAACAGAAGAAGGACACGTGAGAGATGATGCTGAAGGGAATTTCAGGATACCTGCTGTGCGCTAAGTCTGGAGAGCAACCATTCTAGATTGGAGTAGGTTAGAAGATTCCAGGAAAGATGCTTAAGGAACATGAAATTAATAGAAAAGAGAGTATGTATGGACATCTTCAGAGCAAAGTAAGACAACTGATGAAGAGTTTGGGGGTGAATTTTTATTAAGTGCATAAAAAATTAAGCCAGTGAATAAAGTGACAATTATTAGTTAACAGGAAAAATGGGTAGAAAAGGAAAAAATATATAGTAATCTACATGGCTTGGCTGTGCATAGTATTTATGTAGTTATAATAATATAGACACTGAGTAATGATTTACCCAAAATTATGGATGGGAAGTGTGTGTGTGTGTGTGTGTGAGAGAGAGAGAGAGAGAGAGAGAGCATGTGTAAAAGTAAGTGAGCAGATGAGTACAGGTCAAAGAAAGCCAAATCAAAAACCTCCATAGTGGAAAATCAATATTTTTTAAAAGTACATTATTTAGAATAATGCAGGTAAATACACAAAGAATCTACTAGAAGTTTCAAATGGAAATGATATTGGAAGGGGGTAGGGTACCACCAACTTTAGGATAAATGCTATAAACCTGACAGTATGTGCCTGAAAAACTTTAATAAAAATAAAAACTGGAAAAAATATGTTAGAGGGAGAATCCATAGGATTTAGGTATGGATTCAATGTGAGGGATGAGGGAAAAGTAGACATCTAACAGTACTCTAGGTTTCTGGTCATTAACAACCAACCAGGTGAATAGAAGTGCCATTTATAGATTCAGGGAGGACTGGATGGGGGACAGACTGAGGGAAAGGTAGGGGAAAGGTATACCTTTCAGGTATATGGAGTTTTATGATGATTGCAAGATGACTATAAGATGGAAATGCAAAGCAAGGCAGTTGGTTTTATCAGTCTGAATCTCAAAGGAGAGAACCTGCCTGCAGATAAATTTAGCCCTTACCAGCATATAGAGGTTTATTAAAAGCTATGAGAAAACAAGTCCCAGGTAGAAAGAGAGGAGGACCTAGGACTGGGGCCTACAGGGCATCCACATTGGGTGGAGCAGAGCACAAAAAGAATCAGAAGACTGAGAGGTAGGAGAAAAATTAGAAAGTACTGTCATGAGAGTGAAGAGGGTATTTCAGAAAGAAGGGAACTGTCAATCTTGCTGTGTGTTACTCAGAGGTCTAATTAGGGGAGAACTGAAAAGTATCCCAAGTAATAAGCTTTTCATGTTGTCAGTATATAACTAGGGTACAAGATAATTTGGTACTATTGTCATAAATTTGCTGAAGATACTCTGAAATCTTAATGTGCCTGGTGGTCAATAGTATTCATTACCCATGAACAGCTTGATTTTTTGAGTTAATGCTGTGCAATGGTATAGATAACCTAAAATAATAATTTTAAATTGTATCCTCTTTTAAAATACTTTGTTAACATGTTTGGATATAATTTTGGGTGGCCTTACTTAAGACAGATGAACCTTTTGATTGCTCTTTCCCAAGCAAGTATGGAAGGATGTTACTTCGTTTTTACCACAACCATTTTTT